CTAGGTTGGCACCGTGCCTACTGTGAATGCTGTTGACTGAATCGGATTACGGCTCACTCTATGATGATGTGGGAGGGCTCACTCAGCTCCAACAACTCCCTATTAGCCGCTGAACACGATACACACTAAAATACTACGACGCCGTTGGCACTGTCCACACATACTAACTATACTTCACACCACTTATTCATATAACAAAACCATTCAAATCATGCAATTGTACACAACCACAATCACAGTACAAATCAGGACCTAAGATCATCAATGCATGTTTCAAGACAAAGAAACAGAGGATTATAATGACTGCCGTCCAGTGTTACGCGCCAACCAACAATAATCTCAGGGTAAAAAAATGTAAAAACAATTCACCCCATCTATCTAGCTTTCAAATATCATTCAAATGATATGAATTCCTCATTAAAATTTTATTATGTAAACAAAACTCCCCATCTAATAATTTAAATTCTTATTAAATTATTTCAATTTAACTCAATTTCAAATCAACACTTGATATTGAACTGTGTTACTTAAAATACACTGATCATCCGAGTATTTATTATATTATTGATCTGCAGTAGAAAAAAAAATGTGTGTGGCATTATTCAGTTATTGACTATGTTCAATAATTTATAAAAGACTTAAAAGACTTTCAACAAACAAGTGGCATAAATATTGTTATTTTATTTAATTAATTAAAACTTGATTTCAACTCTCTTTTAATTCAAAAATTAAAAAATAAACGCTTTAAAAGAAAAACAATATTCATTTACTGACTTTTTTTCTACTATTGATTATAACTAGTTAGGATCGCTCTGGATTATTAACTTTGTTGGAGATACCTTGGAGGACGTTAACACCTTCACATATCTTGGCAGCATCATCGACGAGTAAGGTGGATCGGACGCAGATGTGAGGACGCGGATTGGCAAAGCAAGGGCTGCACTTCTACAGTTGAAAAATATCTAGAACTCCAAACAAGTATCAATCAACACCAAAATCAGAATTTTCAATACAAATGTCAAGACAGTTCTACTGTATGGAGCGGAAACATGGAGAACTACCAGAGCCATCATTCAGAAGATACAAGTGTTTATTAACAGCTGTCTACGCAAAATACTTCGTATTCGTTGGCCAGACACCATCAGCAACAACGAACTGTGGGAGAGAACAAGTCAGATTCCAATGGAGGAGGAAATCAGGAAGAAGCGGTGGAAGTGGATAGGACATACACTACGAAAAGCACCCAACTGCGTCACTAGACAAGCCCTCACATGGAACCCTCAAGGCAAAAGGAAAAGAGGAAGGCCAAGGAACACACTACGCCGAGAAATAGAGAAAGAAATGAGAGGAATGAACAAAAATTGGACAGAACTGGAGAGGGAAGCCCAGGACAGAGTTGGTTGGAGAAAACTGATGGGCGGCCTATGCTCCATTGGGGGTAACAGGCGTAAGTAAGTAAGTAAGTCATGTAAAAAGTAATCAGTGTGTTTGTTATATTAGTTTGAGTCTTATCAATATCGATCAAATTTGTTAGGGAAGTTAGATCCCCAGAACTCACTTGACCAAAAAAAGCCTTCATTTTGGATTTTACTTGTGGGCTGGTCAGTTGACCTTGAGATCATGTTTCCCACCAGGAAAGTCCTGGGTTGTGATTAGTTGATGTGTTATTTTAGTGCGCTTTTTTTGTGACTCACTTAGGGACGTTTATATGATGTATAAATAAACACGATTTGTGTGCTTTGAGATCATTGTGTTTGCTGGGTGTTTGTAGAATACACTTTCTACGCTATATCAAGACTTTTTCGTCAGTTAGTTTGGGTCAACGGATCAGAGTAGCCTACTGTGTCACTGGTTCATTGTCTCGTTCTCGTTTATCGACTAAGGTGAACTCGTAATAGTTTCAAGAATATCAAGTGACGAGCATAACAAAACTGCAAGGTGACCATCGGTCTGAAACACTAGAATTTGGATTCGCTATGTTTATATTTTTAATCGATGAAAATTAGTAGTCGGCAGGAATATACAAAGCTAGGTCTCGTGATTGTTATGATGGATTAAACTGTAATACCGTGCATGGAAAACAGCTCACAAACTCGTTCTAATTGAAGACCAGTGTCAGGCAAGATTGCTTACTTTTATCATTCCTGTTACTCCTGGTGATCGAAAGGATTATGATGACGTCAGTGTCTCATGGAATATATTGGACAGCTCGAATACATTTGTGTGATCTGGACTTTGCACACAATCTGGCTCTTTTATCGCGCAAGCAACAACAAATACAAGGGAAGATAACCAGTGTGGCAGCAGCCTCAGTAGAATCAGATCTCAAGAATCCTCAAGGCCAGTAGAAAAGATGAATTTTGGAGAACACATTACGCCAAGAGATGGAGATAGACATGAGAAGAATGGACAGCGATTGTGTAAAACTGGAAAAGAAGGTTTAGGATTTGGTAGGTTGGAGAGTGATTGTCAGCAGTCTATGCTCCATTATGGATTACAGGCGTTAACATTTACAATACAGATTTGTTGATGCGTGGAATTTGTCTGAAAGACACGTCTATTGTCTTGATGAGACCAATGTTGTCAGTGTTGATAGATAAATTTTGATCAACACTAAGAACAAGCAAGAAATCAAACTGGTCAGCATTTAGTACTCAATTATTGGTAAATATTTCACCTTTACAGTGAGTCAGTAGCAACTCAAAGAGCTTAGTGGTAATGTCATACATGGTTATGGGTGTTTGTTTCCTGACAGCTGCAAATTCACCTTTATGGTGGGTGCTTATGTGAATAAAATCTAGATTTATAGTTTCTTGTTGACTTCCTCCAATAACGAAATAGATTATTGTTTAAGACTTAAGATATAAACATGGGAAATGGCAGCGAATAGTGAAGTTTAACCCTTCTCACTTTCATTTTTCTCATAGCTTTTACTGTATTCAATAACACTACTTGTGAGTAGTACAAATATCATTAACAAAATAATCGACCCAGACTTTACTAATGAATCAACTGATTTAAAAATTGAATATCTGGAAGTCTCACATCGAATGCAACAGTTTTAGACTATTTTTATCTCGGAATTCAAATCGTTCCTAATACGGTGTTATGAGCATATGAAGTCGATAATTTTTTTCTATATTGTACAACGAATTCAGCTGATGAAAGTGAAATTCATAGTGAAAGCTTAAAATACCATTAAACAATTGCGCTTCAATAAAAATTTTAACGACTATTGAATTTAAATGGAAACTGCGAAATCGTGCATGGAGGACAGCTAACAGACTCTTTTGAGGTGAAGACCTGTGTCAGGCAAGGTTGCTTACTCTCACCCTTTCTCTTTCTCCTCGTGATCGACTGGATTATGAAGACGTAGACATCTGAAGGGAAACACGGTATTCAGTGGACAGCTAGGACGCAGCTGAACGATCTGGACTTTGCAGATGACCTGGCTCTTCTATCACACACGCAACAACAAATGCTAGAAAAGTCGACCAGTTTGGCAGCAGCCTTCGTAGCAGGACGTCTCAACATACATAAGAGGGAAAAGTAAGATTGTACGATACAACACAACATGCTCAAACCAAATCACTCTTGATGGAGATGCCTTGGAGGACGTTAAAACCTTTTACATATCTGGGCAGAATCATCGACAATCAAGGTGGATCCACTGCAGATGTGAGGGCGTGGATTGGCAAAGCAAGGTCTGCATTACTACAGTTGAAAAATATCTGGAACTCCAAACAACTTTCAACCAAAACCAAAATCAGCATTTTCAATACAAATGTCAAGGCAGTTCTACTGTATGGAGTCACGATCAGCAACACCGTACTGTGGGAGAAAACAAACCAGATTCCAGTGGAGGAAGAAATCAGGAAGAGGCGGTGAAAGTGGATAGGACACACATTGCGGAAACCACCTAACTGCGTCACGAGACAAGCCCTCACATGGAACCCTCAAAGCAAAAGGAAAAGAGGAAGGCTAAGTAACACATTACGCCGAGAAATAGAGAAAGATATGAGAGGAATGAACAAACATTGGACAGAACTGGTGAGGGAAGCCCAGGACAGAGTTGGTTGGATGTAGAAAACTGGTGGGCGGCCTATGCTCCATCGGGGGGTAACAGGCGTAAGTAAGTAAGTAAGTAAGTAATATACGTTTTTAAAACTGGGACAATAGCCATTATGTAAACCATAGTAATTGTACAGCTTTGTTGCACCTCACCATTTATTCATCATACTAACTTTAATAATTAGTTGTTTAAATTATTCAACAATAGTATCGACCCATGTTTTGTTTTTGTAACAATTTGATAACACTATCGACTATTGTATATTTGAGTGTGTGAGTGCATGCTTACTCGTTCGTTACATGTCTAGCCTATAATTGCCTGACCATAAATACTTAGTCACGCGTCAGTGCATGAGAGTTGGCACACTTGCCTTCTCCAAATTGGCATCGCTTAGCTTGTACGCTTTTTATTCTCATGTGTGTATGCTTAACTGAATGTATGAAATAAATTCATTCGCTTCTTATTGACGCCGTCACACAAACGACGGTCAATGAAAAGGAAGTTTTATTTCATTCCAAACTCGATCATTCATCCAAACTGGAATGAAATCACGGACCACTGACTGCTGACTGATGAGCTCTACTTTAAATTTAAAACAGCCACCAAATCTTAACAAAACACCATCGTCATTAAAGTATTATACATATACATTAAGAATAAAAAAAGATAGAAAAAAACCAATTTACATTTATTTTATAGTTTTCTTATTCTGTTAAACCAAAAAATAAACATTCTTTTCAGGTTTTGTATATTACATAAAATGTTATGATTCACAAACAATACAATTATAAACTCAAAGTATGAGATCGAATAAAAGTACATTGTAAATGAGAAAGCATTTATTTTTCTTTATATACCTATGATTAGTTATAAACTACAATTTTATTTTATTTTATTTTATTGTTTTGTAAATTCTTTGTTCAAACTAGATTCTAGAGTGAATTCCTTTGTGTTTTTTTTAGTCTTGTTTCTCAATTGACTGACAGTAAAGATTCCCTCCGGGTGGTAGGTTGTTTCTTTTTCAAATCAATTGTTTCATAATTGACCTTTTGGAATTCAATAAATGAGAAACAGCAAAATACACTATACAGTAAGAGAGAATTTAAGAATTTGTAAAAATTCTCAGTCTAGTTTAATTGTTTCTTTTTTTAGAAGGGGACCTTTTTTAATACAAAGATGAGTAACTTGTTTACTGGTAACTAAATCATAATTCATTGATCATTTGAAATTTGAAAAAAAAAACATATAGCGACATTATAAGCTTAAGATTTCTCAATGCTATCTTAAAAAGATCCATTCGGAAAATGATATGCTTGAATGCTATTACGATATCACCTTAGTCAGTATACAAGACGGAGCAATGGCTGGTTCAGTGGCAAGATAGTCTATTCTAATCCGATTGTCTCATGCCCTGCTAACTAGATCAAGAAGTCTTGATAAGCCGTAGGAAATATGTTCTACAAGCAGCAAAAAAATACGAGGTTGCTAAGCACTCAACTCAAGCTTATTTACACAATGATAAGAACGCCCTTGGTGAGAGTCACAAAAATAGTGTAATAAAATAATCCATCAACCAATGACAGTCAAAGATTTTCCGAGTGGGAAATGTAAGCTGAAGCTCAACTAAGCACATTATGCCCGAAAACATAAAAAAAATCAAAATTTTAGCAATAAATTACAAAAATCAGCACCTTTTCAAGTGAGTTCTGGGGATTTAACTTCCCCAACAGTAAATGCACTGTAAAAGTATACTAACTTATTTCTTGGTGAATATCTAACCAAGATTTAAATGTTATACATTATCCGCCCTTCTAACAAATAAACAAATTGACATTGTTTAAAACCAGTGAAATTCTTATTATCTTATCAGTATGTATTAGTTACAATGTATTACAGAGTCGAATACTGTTGCCAATCTGTGAATTAACTAACATTTGTAATTTTATTTCAATTTAAACGTATTTCATAATCAAAAACTGAGAGTTGATCTAAAATAAAAATTATACACTTGTTCTTTTCTCTGTATGATATATTTTGCATACCTTTCACGTTTCATGATCACTCTCTAAATATACTCGTTAGATTTTGTACAAACGACTCAATTATATAATAAATATTTAAGAAAACGAAAAGGATTTTTACTGATATAAAAAAACTGACCTAAGTTAAACATTCATTTTAAAACCAGAAATACTGAATAGCTGTCTGATTCTTACGAAAGATTTATTATGAGGTCTGATCAAACACCTTTTGTTTCATGTACCAACGCTTAAATTCTGAACCACTGAACCAGGATCAAATGATATATGTACGTATATACATATATATAATTACAATAAGTTTACAATATTTCATGAATATGTTTGATTGGATAAGGACATTTTATGCTTTTGCGCATGAGCTGATCATTCGACCTTGAGATTACATTTCCCTCTCGCGAAATCCTTGACTATCATTGGTTAATGTGTTGTTTTAGTAGTCCATTTGTAAGGCTCTCCCAAGGACGTTTCCATCATGTATAAATAGTGTGCTTGTCGAACCCCATATTTTTTAATGCTTGTAGAATATACTTTCTACGTCTTGTAAAGACTTCTACCTCTACTTAAAAGGGGCTTGGGATGCTTAGATTAGAATAGCTTATCGTGTCACCGGATCATCCATCTTCGCTCTCGTTTACCGACTAAAATGAACTGCTGATAGCATTCAAGCATATCAATCGACGAGCGCAACATTAAACTACTTTTCTCATAAAATATTCCAATAAAGTTAGTTACATCTAGGTTCAAAAATGTCATCGAACAACTTGTAACTTACAATAAGCTCTGGCAATGGAACTAAATTCAAATCAATAGTCTGTTTAGTTTGTTGACTCTCATCATTATTATCCCATGGTATTGTTATTGATTTAGATAACATGATTCGTGCTTCATTAGCTGATATTCTTTTCATATTGATTTGAGGAGCTGACTTTGGTCGTTGTCGTTGTTGTTGTCGTCGTAATTCGGGCTGCAGCATTTGCGCGATATTTTCATCGGATTTATTAACATGATTATCCTCTAATAAAGTTGATAATTCTTCTAAATGTTTTTCATCCGAATGAAAATCATCAATGATCAATGCATTTAGATTTGTATTGTTTGTATAAGTTTGTGACAGGTTTTCATGTTTTAAATCAAGATCAATAAAAGTGTTGTTTAAAGATGGCGCAAAAGTTCCATTGTTCAATTGATTTCGTTTTAAATTATGAATTTGTTTTAATAGATAACATTTAAATTGATCAATATCATGAGGTGATTGATAGAGATATTTTATGGTTGATCGCCTGGGCCTATTCGTTATGTGCTTGTTGGTGTCATCAATTTTCTTTCCTTGTAGTATTACGGTATGATATTTTAGCGTGGCATTGTTTTGTTTCATTGAATGATTGAATAAATTGTTGTTCGACGATAATTGTACTTTGTTCAATTGTTCAATTTCTTTTTGTTTTAATGTTTTTGTTATTTCAAAAGCTGATTTAGGACGTTTTATAACACTATTTTTAAATGAATTAGACAGAAATTAAATGAACACATAATCAGATACATTTAGATATACATATCATGACATAAAATGTATGACATCGTACTATCCAAGAAAGAATGAATAATGTCATATCATTCTGTTTTCACCCGAAAGTTGTAATATATACATTTTAGTCAGATAAGAAAAATCTTACTTTAGTTTTGGGTATGATTATGTCAGATTATGTGTGACAAGTTTCAAGTCAAACATATTATTCAAATTTCCGTGGAGAAGTTCAAACCTAAAATACCCTACAAAATCAGATTTCTAACATTCTTATATAAATATATTTAAATTAAAACGAACAGTTTTCTAGATCGACTCAAGTTACATGACACAATGGTTAATTTCTTAATAAACTTTCTTTTCATAGACATGATTCCTTCGAATTTCGTACTCTAAATTTATATAAAACTGTCATTTTAGAGATGTGAAGAATGTTAAGTTCCATTGAAATCACGAATCGATCAATGCTAGGCCACCATTGGAAACCTGAAAGCACTGAAAAGACGTTTTGTCGCAGATTGGGGATCATCAGTAGTGCGCAGACACGACCTCGCATCGAGGAATCGAGTTCAAGAGTTTCAGTCTCATACGCGAACACCTAACATGTAGACCACTGAGCCGGCATCTGACAGTGTTGCTGTTTAACTTCTATCAATCTACAATGTTATGCAACCATCTATCATTATCCTCAGTGGGGTAACAACTGCTTCACACCCGATGACAGTTTAACACTGAACAATTCATGATTGCAATGAAATATGTTGTGAACGTTGTGTCCCCAAAACTCACTTGAGAAGGGTCATAATTTTGGATTTTTTTTGTTTTCGTGCATAAGTCGTCTAGTTGACCTTGAGCTTACATTCTCCACTTGGAAGATCCTTGACTGTCATTAGGTGATGTATTATTTTAGTAGGCTATTTTGTGGACATTTCTATCATGTATAAATAAACTCGATTTGTGTGCTTATCGACATCGTATTTTCTTGGTGATTGTAGAATACATTCTCTTTGCCTTATCAAGACTTCTTACTATAGTTAGCCGGGCAGGGTACAAACGGATTAGAATAGCCTATTATGTTTTATTATGATTTACTGATTTGTCCGCTTTATCGACTAAGGTGAACTCGTAATAGCATTCAAGCATATCAAACGTCTATAACTAGTGTCGTGTCTTAATGCATGATAAGTATACATGATTGTTGATATTTTCAAGAAGCGATTCTGAATGTTCTTCATTGAAATGATTACATCACATGCTAGGCTACAAAAACTACTTTACATTCTGGGGCAGAGTTTTGGAGGTTTGCGTTTTTACACATTTGAAATCATCAATCAATCATTGTTAGACCACCATTAGAAACCTAGAAGCACTAGACGGCCGTTTCGTCCTGGTATGGGACTCATCAGTGGCAGTACGCATCCACGACTCCTGCAACTCGCAGGATTCGAACCCGGGACCTTCGGTATTGTGAGCAAACTCCTTAAAATTCATCTCGATCAATTCACTAAGAAATCAATCATTTAAGTCAATAAAATGTTTAGACAAGACAAAAATGTATCAATCAAGAAATCATGGATTCGCACAACCATTAACGAAAAATCAAAATCAAAAATTCAAAATCTCATCAAACCTATGCTTCACTATATACGTTCCCGGTATTGGCGGTGAGATTAAAAATTCAAACTCCAATGATTTTTGTTTATTATTATTATGTTGTCGTAACAAACGATCATCAATGTGTGAATTTGTTTGAATCGATGAAGATGATGGCGATGGCGATGAGTGTCTACTTTGTATTCGACTTGATTTTGAATGAGCACTTAAAGATCGATAAGCTGAAATATAATAAAAAATATTTATAAAAAATTGAAATATTGCAAAACAGGTAAAATAATTTTTTGAGATAGTGGAGAAGATTTGTAGCTCAGATGGATGATTGTAGTGGTGGTGTTTGGTTCTCTGAGCTGGATGTTTTGGTTGTAAAGTTTTCATTGTTCTTCTACTGAACAACATCAAAGCACAAAGTTCAGATAGAAGAAGTGAAGCATTCGAATTTCCCCACGTTTGACCTGCAGCCTGTTCTGCTAACCTCGATCTTGATTGGTTGCTTTTGACCATAAACCTTCCGTTGTTTACACCTTTGTTTTGATTGTATCCCCCTTTTGATCTGTTTCTTGATCCTATGTCACCTATGACTTTTCTGATTGGTTGATAAATCGAGTCAGTGTCGATGTGTCTGTTGATTGCTGATTGACCTGAGTGCCGAGCTTCTAAAATTTCTCCAGTGAACTTTGTCCTCCCTCTATCCAGTATTTCCACATTGTTCGAATCGAATGTGTGTCCATCAGTCAATCAGTCAGTTGCAACGTAGAACTTCGTACGTATGTACATAAGCTCATGTTGCCATACCACATAATTAGCACAGAGACGCAAAAGTCAAATCGAATCCCATAGTGATAAAGACAGTAGAGGTATTAATATAAATAAAGAAGACTAGGGTTTAAGATATTATTCAAGAAGTATATAATTCAGTGAGATAAGGTTAGAAAGACAAAGGTAGAGGTGCTGAAGAATCCAGAAGATTAGGATTTGAGAGAGCTCAAAGAGTGGATGCACCTGCGCCATTGCAAACGATTTTGAGCCATGTCGTTCAAGGTCTCTAACGATTGATGACTTTCGTCTCGCAGACCCCAACCAGGTAGTCTACATCTACCAACATGACTCAGTCCACTTGTCAGTGACTTCATGAATTTCTGCCATGTTTTGGTCTGGCCGCTCCTAACTTTCTTCCAAGTTACTCCTACACCACAAAACATAGCTCGTCGAGGCAGTCGGTGGTTAGCCATACGTAACACATGTCCCAACCACCTCAACTGATGAAGTTTCACCACTTCATGTATTGATCTGCCATCCTTACCTAGTACTCGTTTCCTAACAACAGCATTGCTTACTCGGCTGTCCCACGATATACGAGCAATGTTTCTTAAACATCTATGATCGAATACTAGTAACCTACGAACATCTTCTACTCTTAACGGCCATGTTTCACAGCCATATAAGAGAACGGAACGAACTGCTGCGCAGTACACCCGCCCTTTGGTTAGCGAACGGATATCACGCCTACGCCATAAGTGACGCAGGTTGGCAAAAGCCAATCGAGCTTTCTGTATCCGAGCTGAGATTTCGTCAGTCACCAGACCGTCAGCACTGATGAGACTCCCCAGATAAGTGAGGTGATCAACACGCTCGACTACTTCACTCCCTATCACTAGTTCAGGTGCCGAAGCAACCCAGTCTTGAAGCAACATTTTGCATTTCGAGGGGGAAAACCGCATCCCGAACATGCTCGCATTGTTGCTTATGGTAGTCAGAAGACTCTGCATTTTTGTCAGCGTCTTCACCGAATAGAACTATGTCATCGGCATATTCTAGATCAGTAAGCGACTTTCCTGGTAGAAGGTCAACCCCTGAAAAATCTGACGAGCTTAATGTTAACTCCAAGAGGATGTCTACGACAAAGTTAAACAAGAATGGAGAGAGTGGACAGCCCTGACGGACACCACTTGATGTAGAGAATTCAGATGACAGTTCGCCATATGCTCTCACCCGACCAGTGGTGTTCGAGTAGAGTGCTTGTATAAGGTTAATGTACTTCTTTGGTACACCTTTCAATGACAGACACTGCCACAGAACCTCACGATCCACTGAGTCGAATGCTGCCTTAAGGTCCAGGAACACGACTATTGTCGGACGTCTAAATGCGTGTCTGTGTTCCAGGACCTGTCGTAGTGTGAAGATGTGGTCTATACAGCCACGTCCAGGTCGAAAACCAGACTGGTTTTCTCTAGTCTGCTCTTCACGAGCTCTAGTTAGACGCCTAAGTATGATCGAGGCTAACAATTTAGAAACTATATTAGTTAAACTGATTCCTCTGTGATTGTCACAAGAGGACTTCTGTCCTTTCTTGTAGATTGGGACAATTAGCGACTGAGACCAGTCAGATGGGATTACGTCCAGTTCCCAGATTCTACCTAGGATCTCGGTCAGTCTAACCGTTAAAACTGGACCACCATCCTTAAACATCTCAGGGGTAAGCCTATCGGGACCTGCTGCTCTACTTCGCTTTAGATTTCCTATAGCTTTCTCAACTTCATGTAAACTGGGAGGACTTAAATCGATTTGCCATTCAGGATGACTGGAGATCGTGGGCAACCGAAGTGTGGCTGAAGGCCAGTTGAACTGATCCCTAAAGTGTTCTGCCCATCGGTCCAGCCTCCTAGATTGAGAATGGATAATAAGACCATCCTTTTCCGAGATAGTCTCACTCACATTCGGGTTCCTAATACCGGTTTCTTTAATAAGGCGGAAAAGTTGTCTAGTGTTGCCAATTGCCGCTGCCTTTTCCATCGCTTTTGCTTTCGCCACCCACCACTGTTCACGGTCGTTACGTAGGCTTTTTATAAGTCTGCGCCTAAGCTGACTACGCTCTTCATCATGTTCAGAGTCAGGTGGGATGCGTTTTCGAGCATCCATCAGTTCGGTGGATGCGACTGAAATCCACGGCTTTATCCTAGCCTTGTGGTTTACCTTGCTAGCAGATACCATTGCTGTTTCCACAGCCTTCTTGATATGATTCCAACCCGCTTCAGGATGGGAATCACTCTCATGGCCGCCTAACTGTTTTTCTAGTTCCTCCTGAAATATTTTCTTAGCTTGATTATCATCAAGTAAAACCCTGAGAGGCTTTCTTACGGTGTCTTTCCTACGTCCAGCAAGCCTCAAACAAATACGTGCTCGCACTAGGGCATGATCTGAATCTAAACATGTGCCCCAGAACGAGCGACAGTCCTCTATCGAACCCCTCCATCGGTGGCTGATGGCGATATGATCTAGTTGTGTCCAACGTTGAGACGACTTCGGGGGTCGCCAGGTCAAAAGGTGTTTTTCCTTATTCTTAAAATTAGTGTTTGCTAGAAATAGTTGGTTATCTGAGCACAGTTGCAACAGACGGTCGCCATTGTCTGTTCTCTGAGCCGCGAGACCGTAACATCCACCTAGGTGTCTTTCATTTTCACTTAGTCTACCTACTTGTGCATTGAAGTCACCAGCCATTATAATTATATCAGAGCGCTTAACTTTTTGGAGGAGGTCCGAAAGCTTTCTGTAAAATTCATCTTTTACATCATCTGGGCTGCAGTCAGTGGGGGCGTAGGCTGATATGACGAAGAGGCAACGACGAGTGTCCCTATCTTTCCGAGTCCTTACTGTCCCGTTGAGTCGGACGGCGCACAAGCGACTATCTACAGGGATCCAGTCAAGGAGAGATTGTTCTGCCCTACGACTCAATGCTATACCTACACCGGCGAGGCCCCTAGAAGCAGCATCAGGGCTACCGGATACACGAAGGGTAAATCGAGCTGCTTCTTTATCTTGACATGGTGAGGTCAAATGAGTGATGCTACTCGGATCCTGTAAGCGCGTTTCCGAGACGCAGCACACATCGATGGAACGAGATTCTAAAGTCCTAGCCAATGATGCCTGTTGCCCTATTTGACACAATGTAAGTACATTGAATGCTCCAACATGTAGTTTGGAACGGGGTTTAAGGAGACCAGGAATGACGTTTCGCAAACTCGCATCGTTTGCATTAGCTGTGCACTGTAATAAATGAATGTGAGAAGAGTTAGTTGTGGAGATAAGAGAGGTATTAGGGAATGTAGGAAGGATTTGATTTTGAACAATTTTGTCTCGTGTGCTGTTGCGGGTATGAGGGCGGTTATCACTTCCCGGCTGCCCACACCGTGGAAGGTTGTTTCTTGACGAACCTGAAAAGGAAGATGGATTAGTGTTGGTGCGTGACCGCAGAGTCCAAGGGACAACTGCTTCAGGCCGGTCACACACGGCCTTTTTATGAAACGTTGTTTGAGGATTAGCTCCGTTCTTAACGGCCCTTAGTGGGCACCCTTACCCAAGGAGACGGAAATCCGTGAGGTAGGGGAGGTGTGACATTTTTAGGGTCGACCTTTTCTAACCCTTCCTTCCTGGTGAGAAGGCAGCATCGCTGCAGATGCTGGTTGTCCGAGGGAAACACCTTACTGCTGTCACACCCCTCTGCATTCAGCAGTACGACTTCGCCCTCAGACCTTGGGTAGCTGCTTTTAGTCTCATCGTTCTCCAATCGACCTGCCTGGCATGGTAGGACCTGCAGGAACATGCGTTTTAGCCAGTATAGCTCGGTTGGATCATCACGATAGGCAAGCCCGACCACCACGTCAAGGTAGCAGCTTCGGTCGGGATGTGTGTCCATAATTGTCGGTGTATATTGATCACTAGTAAAATCGACGCCAAAAATGTGGGTTCACTATGTAGACGACACATTCGTCATCATCAAAAGGAATGAGCTGGAGAACATCTACAATCAGATCAACAACGTCTTCGACGACATGAAATTCACGATGGAAAAGGAATCAAACAACACTCTATCATTTCCTGATGTACTATTCACCAGAAATAACACAGAAAAAGTGGAAACTCAAGTATTTCGGAAGCCAGCCCACACAGACATAATTCTCAACTACGATAGCAACAACCCAAGAACCCACAAAATCAACTGCATACAAACTTTGTTCAAGAGAACGAAGACACACTGTAGCACATACGAAGCATTAAAAAACGAGGAAAAACACCTTGTGACTATCTTTCAAAAGAACGGCTATCCATGCAACTTCATCGAAAAACAAAACCACAAAATAATTTTTATTCATAATGTGAATCTTGATTATTTCTAACTAATGACATTAGGATTTCATTACAATGATTATTAAGATCAAGTTATAACCAGTAAACGAAAACTCAGTCAATCAGTCTGTCAGCTACAATGTGGTACTTTGTACGTACGTATATCAGTTGATGTTACCACATTGAAAAATTAGCACAAAGACGCAATTATCGATTCAAATTCCTATAGTAGTAGATGTAATAGAAGTATTAACGGTTATCGTAACTAAATGAATAAGATGAATATTGTTAATTACTCGAGTACATTGAAGTAGATAAAATTCGAGAGATAATTTACACGTATTTATTTGCAGACATTATATTATATATTTTAATAAACATTGTTCATTCACTTAAGATTATTACTTAATGTCTAATTAATATGATGGTAATCCCTTGTAATTTGTTTTATTGTTATACTAAATTTTATCCAAGAAACTAGTTTCTGGCATTTAGAATGACTCCAAATGTCACACTCAGCATAGTATCTGTTATACTTACTTACTTACACCTGTTACCCCTCATGAAGCATAGGCTGCCGGCTAGCGTTCTCCAACTATCTCCATTGTGTCTGTTTCCGGTTCTCGTCACAATCTACACTTTGGTCCACATCTTTTCCAATGGTGTTGAGGATTCGAAGTTATAACTCACCTCGTGACACAGTTGGGGGATTTCTGCAATGTGTATCCTATTCATAGCCAATGCATTTTCCTAATTTCTTCCTCAGCTACAATCTGGTTTGTTCTTTTCGACAGTAGATTGCTGCTGATCGTGTCTGGTCAATGAATACACAATATCATGTGTAGACAGCTGTCTAAAAAATACCTGTTTTCTTCGATGATGGCTTGCGTAGTTCTTTAATTTTCCTTTCAACACAGTCTAACTGTCTTGACGTTCGTATTGAAAATTGTAACTTTGGTGATAGTTGGCAGTTGTTTTCAGTTTAAGATTTTCTTTAATCCTAGAAATGCTATCCTTATTTTGCTAATCCGTGTTTCCCCATCTGTACCATATTCTCTTTGTTTACCAGTGATGCTGCCCAGGTATGTAAAATTATCCACATATCCCAATAATTCTTTTTCAAGTATGATTTCCTTGATGCATGTTATTTTGCATAAATACTTCGGATTCGTTGGCCAGACACAATCAGCAACAACGTAATGTGGAAGAGAACAAACCAGATTCTAGTGGAGGAGGAAATCAGGAAGAAGCGGTGAAAGTGGATAGGACACACACTACAAAAAGCACCTAACTGTGTCACAAGACAAGCCCTCACATGGGATCCTCAAGGTAAAAGGAAAAGAGGAAGGCCAAGGAACACATTACGCCGAAAAATAGAGAAAGATATGAGAGGAATGAACAAAAATTGGACAGAACTGGAGAAGGAAACCCAGGACAGAGTTGATTGGAGAAAACTGGTGGGCGGCCTATGCTCCATTGGGAGTAACAGGCGTAAGTAAGTAAGTAAGTAGGTATGTTATTTTGCATCGGGTAATCATGCTTTTTCCCTTTGTAAGTGTTCAAATCTACTGCTGCAGAGAGTGCTGGTACAGTCGACATCTTCCGCACTTATTAATGTGTATGGGATAGACGGGCTAGATCATCTGCGAAGTCCAATTGTCGACAACCTTCTCAAGTACGTCGTGATATCAAAGAAGTTTCCATGATATGCTCCTGATTAAGCTGTCAAGGAAGTTGAATTCTACTAACTTGATTGTTTCACAGCTATTCATAATGTCACGATTTTGTCAGTACACAATCGACCCTTATCGAATCCACGTGTGTATTATATCAGATTTAGAGATTTCCAACTATCAAATAAAATATTCTTGGTTTCATTCATACAAGCAAATTGATTCTGTTTGTAAGCGTCACTCACAAAATCCTGAGATTAGATTTAATGGTTAGAATGCACTCACTGAAAAATCATATTTGCAATCCTAAACCGATTGTAAATATCTGTAGAGTTCAAACCAGATTCAACCACCTCTACGGTTAGAAATGTTCCTGAGGAGATATTAGAGATATTGCTAATAGAGTTCTCACTCGTCAACATTAAAATAATCTTATTAGTCAGCGTGAATTTAAAGTAACGACGATCGTCATAAGTATTTTACACATACAATATTACTAGAAGATATTTTCTTCAGGATTGTACACATAACCTGGACTCCTCAAATTTAAATCAATTAATAATGTAGGGATTACTAATAAGTACATTTATTAAATCAAAAATACTATAACGTACATTTCAATTCAATAGCCTTATTTCAGTGTTTGGCTTAAGTTAGACTACTTTGGTTTAAATGTTCAAATTACTTGGGTTTTGCTTAAAAAAAACGGACAGTTCAGATATTTATCTCTCTATTTCATCATTATTCATCTCATAAAATAAAAATTATAATTTCTAAATATTCCATTTTCTAATCACCAGTAAAAAATAGTTGGGAGGTGAAGTATACTTTAGTAAAATAACGCATTATAAGTAATTTAATTAAGTATTAAAAATAAATTTCCAGAATACCTAATAATTCAAATGATAGAACATACTTTTACATAACAATAAGCTCAATCTGAACTAAAGTTAGAAATAATAATCATCTGATTTTAACTGATCGATTCGAAAATAATAAGCTTATTTACAAGCTTTGAAAGTTATGAGTTCAACTCATTTTGGGTTCGTTGATTAGGATGCAACGATCAATCAATCAATCAACTGCAACACAGAACTTCGTACGTACGTACATCAGTTCACGTAGCCATACCACGTTAGCACACAGATAAAATTCTCACTTAAATTCCATAGTAGTAGAGGTAGTAGAAGTATTATCAGTAATCGGAAATTTTACGGTTCGAAGATATTATCCAAGAAGTAGAATCTACTGAAATAAACTTCAAAAGAAAAAGATAAAGGTGATGAGGAATTCAGAAGGATAAGATTTGAGAGAACACAAAGAATGAATGCACCTGCGCCAGTGCAAACAGTTTTGAGCCATGTCATTCAGGGTCTCTAACCATCGATTATTATCATGTCGCGAACCCCAACCAGGTAGTCGACATCTATCAACATAACTAAGTCCACTTGTCAGTGACTTCATGGATTTGTGCCATGTTTTGGTCTGATTGCCCCTAGCCTTCGTCCAACCTACTCCTACACTACAAAACAAAGCTCGACGATGCATTCGGTGGATAGGCATACGCAGCATGTGTCCCAACCACTTCAACTGACGAAGTTTCAATACTTCATCTATTAAACTGCCATCCTCACCTAGCACCCGTTTCATAGCAACTGCATTGCTTACTCGGTTGTCCCAGGATATACGAGTAATGCTTTGGGGACAGCTATGATTGAAAACAAGTAACCTAAGAGTGTCTTCTTCTCTCACTGGCCATGTTTCACAACCATATAGTAGGACGGAGCAAACTACTGTACAGGAGACTCATCCTTTGGTGGGCCAAACGGATATCTCACCTACTCCATAAGTGACACAAGTTGGCAAAAGCCAATCGAACCTTGTATATCCAACAAAATACTCTGAGACTAGAGCAAAACAACTTTCCTTGGCCTCCTTAGATTTTTAATTTTTATTCATGGTATACACTGTTGTCATTTATTTCGTAGTGATTGTATTTCAACAATAAGAGTTGAGTCACTTTATTATTCATCATAGATAGATTCAAAAAATTAAATGTACAACAAATGAATTTTTACAGACCACAAGAAATAAAACTTATTCACAAACCTGATTTACGCCTTAGCCCTGTCGCAGTTGATTGTCTCCGAAAAAATCTTGGATCTGCTGAACCAACTAAACGTGATCTTAAATATCTTGATTCAGCATAACTAAGCTTAGAATTTACTGTATTGATGATATTTGGTTGTGTTGATTTTGTCTTAACAGATTTTAACCAAAATTCTTCTGCTCTATCCGAAATTGATTCATGATATTCCCATTTGATAGGATCAAAATTTAAAGCTAATACATTATGTTGTGTATTTACAATTAATCTGTTGCATTTTAAGGAGAAAACAAAAGGGTAAATAATTTTCCCAGCAATTTCATTGTGTACCTGATATGCTTGTAAATTGATATGCTTGAATGCTATTACGAGTTCACCTAAGTTGGTGAACGACAGCGAACACAAATGATCCAGTGACTCCGTAGGCTACTCTAATCCGAGATTCCCAAGGCCCCGTAAAGTAGAGGAAGAAGTCTTCACAAGACGTAGAAAGTGCATTCAGAAAATAAGAAGTTCACAAGCACACAAATCGACTTTATTTGTACATGATGGAAAAGTCCTTGAGAGAGCCTCAGAAATAGCATACTAAAATAAAACATCAACCAATGACAGTCAGGGATTTTCTGAGTGGGAAATGTAATCTCAAGGTCAATTGATCAGCCCATGCTCAAAAGCATAAAATGCAAAATTAGGACCTTTATCAAGTGAGTTCTTGGGATCTAACGACCCCAACAGTATCTTAATTGAATAACCAAAACTTCAGTACAAATTGTTTTGTGTAATCTATGGAAATTTGAAATGGTCAAACAACCTTTATAACTAAAAACTATTTTTGAATGAATATATAGCTAAGAAAACACTTTAATGAAGTCTCTTTATAAGTCTCTTTATAAGGCACACAGAATTAAATAGCCAATTATAATGCCGAGTTAAGAAATCATTAAAAATATTCAACACTATCATTCGTATGTAAACGCTATAGCACTCTACACAACAACATTATGTAGTCACATAAGTAAACAAAGATTGTATATTACATATTACTTAAAAACGAATTCCATACAGTGTTAAACCAATTAAGAAGCGAAACATGGGCTTATTAGACATTATGGTGGTATTATCAAGACACAAAATTTTGTCATGCAAAACAAGGGCTATTTTTATGTCCAGGTTAATTGTGTTGACTTGAAAACAATATCTCAGTAAACAGATTTACTGTTCATCTTTAATGAGATTACTAAGGATAGACTGATTGTATATCACAATGTATTGTCGTTTGGATTTCAGTTTACGCACATGCTTATTTACTATTCATTGCTTACTCAATACTACTTTTAAGATTCAGTAATATGATGAATTTCATATAAAAGTTAAATAAACTTCTAGTGTCATCAAATGAACCACCAGAGTAAAAAAAAGGCAGTATAAACAAATGGACTAAACTCCGAAAGAACCTATGTTTTAGTTCATCTCAATAAAATGATGATAAAATATTTTGATTACATTTAATCCTAATAAATCAGATGTTTTTCAAAATATATAATTTAAAATCTAGATTATGAACGTTTGATGTTGTATTGAACAAAACCTATAAAATAATTCGTTGAAATCATGGATCAACCAACGTTAGATCACCATTAGAAACCTACAAGCATTGGATGGCCGTTTCGTCCGACTATGAGACTGATCAGAAAGAAGTGCACATCCGCGACCCCCGCTACAGGGAATCGATTCCAGGACCTACGGTCTCTCTCGTGATCTCTTAACTTCTAAACTGCTGAGCCAAACGTATTAATATCTAACTAAAATCACTCACCTCATCCACTGTCTCCATACCCAAACAGGATAGAACTCTACTGATCACGACTTCTCACCAGAACTCGGAAAAACTTCCTTACAGAGCTAGTCACTAGTAAGCACATGATAATTTTTATTATAGGGTTGTGAAGTTTATTGAGTTTCATTGAAATCATTAATCGATCAGTATCAGACCACCATTAGGAACTTGGGAGTTCTGGACAGTTTGACGAGAGATCGAAAGTCCTAGATTCGTTTCCCGGCAGCGGAGGTCGTGGGTGCGCGCTGCTGATAAGTCCCATACTAAGTCAAAACGGCTGTCTAGTGCTTCCAGATTTCTAATGGTGTCCTAATAATGATCGACCTGTGATTTAAATGAAATTCATCAATCTTCACAATCCAATAATGAGAATCCAAAGAATGTTCATAAAAATACAATAAAAAAAAATTCCAAATTAAATCAACTGAAAACACATACACACCGATTTTCCAATGGCATAATGCTGATAATTGGATCATGACGATAATTTCCTGGTAAAATTCGTTGACAATGTTGAGTTAATAAATTCCATACACGTATACGACCATCTGAACAACCAGTTATAATTCGTAAATCAATCATTTCCACACATAATACTTCACTGCTCGATAAGATACAGTAAACATTGGAATTCATTTAGAATACATAGATGAATAAAGTGTTTTTTTGATCATGCATAAATCAATTGTGTTATGTAATTTGCATTATTAGCATCGAAATTCTGTCTTTCGTTATAGGACTGTGAGGAATGTTGGGTTTCACTGAAATCATGAATCGATCAATGCTGCACCACTATTAGGAACCTGAAAGCTCTAGAAAGCCGTTTCGTCCTAGCACAAGACCCATCAACAGTGCGCATTCACGACTTCAGATGCAGAAATCAAGCCCAGGACCTTTGGCTTTGTGCGCGAACACTTAAACGTTTAGCCACTGAATTGGGCCCTAAAAGTGTTAATGTCTAACTTAAATCAATTCAAGGTATTGTACGAACTCGGTTGGTAACCACCTCACAACCGATAAGGTTGAACCCTACTGATCATGGCTTCTCACTTGAACTCCGGGAATATCATCACGAAGCAAGTTACTTGTGAGCATATTTTTATAATTTTCACTATAGGGTTGTGGAAATTGTTGGGTTTCACTTGAACTTATGAATTGCTAGATTCTCGTCATCCACTGCCTCCAAGCTTATATGGCAAGGTCTAACAAAGATCGATTCATGGTTTCAATGAAAATTCTGTCTTATTAATAGTTGTCCATCAATAATTAATAAACTGTAAAAGAAGAAAATTATGTTACTGTAAAAGTTATCTTGCTGATCTCAGTAAATGTTTAGAAAATTTATTAAGATTTTTACGTGGCATATATTTTCAGATAACTTACTTACTTACTTACGCCCGTTACCCTCAATGGAGCATAGGCCGCACACCAGTTTTCTCCAACCTACTCTGTCCTGTGATTCCTTTTCCAGTTCTGTCCAATTTTTGTTCATTCCTCTCATATTTTTCTCTATTTCTCGACGTAATGTGTTCCTTTGCCTTCCTCCTTTACTTTTGCCTTGAGGGTTCCATGCTTTTCGTAATGTGTGTCCTATCTACTTCCATCGCTTCTTCCTGATTTCCTCCTCCGCTGCAGGTATCTGGTTTGTTCTCTCCCACAGTTCGTTATTGCTGATAGCGTCTGGCCAACGAATACGAAGTATTTTGCGTAGACAACTGTCAATAAACACTTGTATCTTCTAGATGATGGCTTTCGTAGTTCTTCAAGTATCCGCTCCATACAGTAGAACCGTCTTGACATTTGTATTGAAAATTCTGATTTCGGTGTTGATTGATATTTGTTTGGAGTTCCAGATATTTTTCAATTGCTTTGCCTATACGCGCCCTCACATCTGCATCGGATCCACCTTTCTCGTCAATGATGCTGCCCAGATATGTAAAGGTGTTAACGTCCTCCAAGGCATCTGCATCAAGAGTGATTTGGTTGGTGCATGTTGTGTTGCATCGGAGAATTTTGCTTTTTCCTTTACGTATGTTGAGACCTACTGCTGCAGAGGCTGCTGCCACAGCGGTCGTCTTCTCCGCCTGTAGACCCTTAGAAGCTACTGCCTGTCCTAAGCCCGGATAAAGGAGGAGGGTCTATGGGCAAAAAACTTAGACATTAAGAGTTACTTATCTCACGTCATGTAAAACGAAACTTTGAACTGGATTCTAGAATTAAGGTTCAGGTGTGGTGTATACTACTTGCAACATGGCTTATAACTAGTATTCAGCAGGGTGTCGTTCGGAAGTTACTGCTGAAGAGAAGAATGTCGGATCCGCATGTACAACACTATCAAAGTATTTTGAAGACTAAAAGACAAATGCGAAAGAGCGCAGCCAATAATCCACTTGTTTTGTAAAGTGAAGTCTGATGAAAATGTGTACACATTTTGCTAGTAAATTGAGTTTTTCATTCCATCTAATAATAACATCATTGTTCATTGTATCGGTACAAACTCACTGATGAAAAAAATATGAAATGTCCCGAATTCGATTCAATTCGCAACTATGTACGTAATAGTAACTTGGTTCTATATGATCTACAATGATTTTCAACCTGAACACTTTCCTTCAGGCTATTCCATTAAGTTTTTGATGTAACAGTTAGTTTCTGTTCTGCCTCAATATAATATTTTCTTTTAATCAATAAATATTGATTATTATTTTTTTCAAATGTTCACCTCATTGTTATTTGTACATAGGATGTACTTTATCAAACAAAATAAATCTCCATCGGTTGCACCTGGAGGACAACTCAAGGTCACTCATTTGTGTTGATTGTTTAAATCATTCTGTTGATGTTTTCGGTCTGAAATTGATCAGTCTCCTTTTGAGCATTCTATGCGCATTGGCTTGACCGATGATATATCGCCAGTAAGTCATAAGGATTGTAGGCAAAGATAGATTTAACTGACAAATCTCAAATAGGTCAAAACGCGCGTCCTAGTACCCAGCACTTTCGTTATCCGGCTGAACTTCTAGGCCAGTTTGGGGGTATTTGTCAAACTTTAGTTAATTTACGAAATTACTTAACCGTCTTCGGTTATGTTCGATAGGTGACTGTCACTAACCTGACGGTTAGATGAATAAAGAATATAGATATCATGAAGCAACTAGTTTTTTAATGAATGTTTAATTCAGATCAGTTCGTGATATCAGTGGGATACATTTTGTCAACAGAGGAAGAAAAAAAGGCATTTGATCATAGAAAATATTTAACTCCATCTGTACACCCTCCGGGACTACTGCCAGTCCAAAGCTCGGATGAAGGAGGAGGGTTGGGATTGGGGTTGGTGACCCCATCCCACAAAATCTAACTCGCTAAGAAAACGCTAACAAGTAAAAATAATTATCACCATGTTGGTAGGTGTCGACTACCCGGTTGGGGTCCGTGAGATGATAGTAATCGATGGTTAGAGACCCTGAATGACATGGCTCAAAACTGTTTGCATTGATGCAGGTTCATTCATTCTTTGTGTTCTCACAAATTCTAAACTTCTGAATTCCTCGTCACCACCATCTTTTTCTTGTTAAGTTTATTTCACTAGATTCTACTTCTTGAGTAATACCGTCGAACACTAATCTCTCCGATTACTGCTAATACTTCTATCACTTCTACTGCAATAGGATTTTAAGTGAGAATTTTATCTCTGTGCTAATGTGGTATGGTAACTTGAACTGATGTACGTACGTACCAAGTTCTGTGATGTTGACTGACTGACTGACTGGTAACAAACATTTAGAAATATTTATGAAAAAAGAGCTATAATTATTACAATTCACTTACCCTGTATGCACCAATGTACCTATACAATCAGAGAATTCTCCAATAATCGACCATATTTTTACAGATTTATCTTTGGACGATGTAACTAAATGATAACTGTCAAATCGTAACGCTGTAATAACATCCGTATGACCGGTCAATACCTGTTACAATAGTAACAATACTAATAACAATAATAATGATGTGGATAAAACGATATTCAACTGAGATGCATGAAAATACTTTTAAAATATCTATCTTATTTGCATGTTATTCTGTTTGATGCACGTAAACCAATGCAGAATAGTACTCTTAACATTAACTATATATAATTTAGTTGAACTCAAAATTATTTTTAAAATTAAATTTAATCGTTTCAATGCTACTAACATCCAATGTTTTTGGTGTGTAACTGCCTCACACTCGACATGGTTGAGCTCCACTGTTTACAGCCTCTCACTAGAAACTTCAAGAATATCCCCACGAAACTAATTTTATCATTGGATGTCGGCTCATCGGTCAAGAGGTTAGGTGTTCGTACACGAGATCGAAAATCCGGAGTTCGATTCCTGGTGGTCGTGAATACGCAATGACGACGAAATGGCCATCTAGTGCATTCAGTTTTCCAATGGTGATGTGCCATTAACACCTTCATGATTTGAATGAAATTTAACAACCTACACGACATCATACTGAAAAAAACTGACGAAAGTGTTATTTATGAACTTAACTATCATTGTATTATTTGAACGTTTATTCAGAATTACACACTACCCTAATATTTAGATCATCTAGTCACTATTTTAATTCATAAAATCAATGTATGTATTCATTGCTAATTCCATTCATGACAGCTTTCAAATACGTATATTGATCATTTTGCATAAAAGTACGCCAGAGATTTTGTTTTACAGTGATCATAAGTGTCTTCGAAGCATTGCTCGTATATCCTGAGCAACGCTGTTATTAGGAAACAGGTAATAGGTAAGAATGGCAGATCAATAGATGAAGTAATGAAACTTTATCAGTTGAGGTGATTGGGACATGTTTTACGTATGCCCAACCACCGACTTCCTCGAAGAGCTATGTTTTGTAGTGTAGGAGTAGGTTGGAAGAAAGTTAGGAGCGGCCAGACCAAAAACTTGGCAGAAATCCATGAAGTCATTGACAAGTGAACTGAGTTATGTCGGTAGTTGTCGACTACTTGGTTGGGGTCCGCGAGATGATAATAATCGATGGTTAGATACCCTGAATGACATGGCTCAAAACCGTTTACAATGGCGCCGGTGTATTTATTCTCTGTTTCCACTCAAATCCTAATCTTCTGGATTCTTCAACCCCTCTAGTTTTGACTTTCTAAACTTTTCTCAATGAATCATATTTCTTAAATAATATCTTCTAATCCTAACCTCTCCGATTACTTCTAATGCCTTTACTACCTCTACTACTATTGGATATGAATTGATAATTATATCTCTGTGCTGATGTGGTATAGCAACATGAACTGATGTACTTACGTATAAAGTTCTACGTTGCATCTGACTGACTGAATTGACTGTTTTACAGTGAACTCATGAATGAATCATTATTAAACCACCATTAGAAACCTAGGAGATACTGATGAGTGCTATACACCACGATGAAACTACTGTCCAGTGCTTCTACACATTTCTAATGATGGTCTAACTGTGATTGATTGACGATTTTAGAAAATATTGTCAAAAGTAAATAGCTAACTAATTTTATAAATATTATGATTATCATTTAAAGTTTTCAAAAAATAACTATGGATATATATTACTTTGATTAGAACTGGTTTAGTATTACTAATTCTCCATACACTGACACGTCCACTACGTTCACCAGTTGTACAAAGATATCCTCTCAAGCATACTGATGTGATTGCTGTTGCATGTTTCATAATCCATAATGGTTTATGTTCATCTAATCGCCAAACTTTTGATTGATGACGAAATACAAAAAAAAACTTGATCTAAACACCAGAAAATAAATCTAACTAAAATCCAATCATTATTAATCATTAAAAGATATGAACTTTGACTGTGAACAATAAACGATAGTTTATTTCATTTGAGAATTCATTAGACTTGATTACTGGTTAACAGTGGCATATATATATGACATAATTTTCATTGTGTTTTGGACTTGTTAACTGAATATATTATCATTGTAGAGTTGATATTTACTCAGTGATGATTATTTTACATGAAATAATTTATTTTCGAGCAGAGTTTTGGAGTTTTGTGTTTTTACACATTTGAAATCATCAATCAATTATTGTTAGACCACCAATAGAAACCTGGAAGCACTGAACGGCCGTTTCGTCCTGATATGTAATAATGATTTATTCACATATATGGTTTTAAATCGCCTCTGCTCAGTTAACATCTCCCCATCATGGTATCTAGTTGTATATATCTTTCAATGATTTCTAAATTACCCAGTAAAAAACTTGAATTTTGATTACTTAGAAGATACTTAGTGATATGAGTGGACGAATTCAAACTCATTCTAGCGATAAATTTGATATTCTAATACTTGGTATTAACCGCCTATCTACTTCCGAGATTCCTGCTCACCATTAGACAATCACACGGATTGATCATTGAAAATTTTGATGTTCTTCTGTACATTGAAAGAAATCTTAAATTCAAACAACATATGAAAAAAAACACCTACGGTGTTATGCTCATCAAGTCATATGTCTAAATGCTATTACAAGTTCACCTTAGTCGGTAAACGAGAGCGAACACAAATGATCCAGCGATACTATAGGCTATTCTAAACTGAGCGTCTCAAGTCCCCATAAGTAGAGGAAGAAGACTTGATATAGCGTAGAAAGTGCATTCTACAAGCATTCAGAAAATACGAGGTTCACAAGCATACAAATCGCGTTTGTTTATACATGACATAAACGTGCTTGGGAGAGCAATCAAAATGGCGTACTAAAATAGTACATCAACCAATAACAGTCAAGGATTTTCCAGGTGGGAAATGTAATCTCAAGGTCAACTGATCAACCTATGCTCGAAAGCACAAAATGCAAAACTAGGACCTTTATCAAGTGACCTCTAGGGATCTAACATCCCCAACATACGGTAATGCAAGAAGATCTTGTTTATGAACGCTGAAATCATAGATGAAACCAAACCAAAATCACTGTTAAACACTTTCTACTCTGCACAGCATTTTACTCTACATTCAAATATGAATGTTAATCAACCAAGTTGTCTTATTCATGAACATTTAATTCACTCTAATCATGTATAGTTCATTCAGAATATAAAACAGCATCTTATAAAATCATCTTTAAAAAAATGTCGAGAATATCTACTTTAAAAAGAAACACATCATCTAGTTTTTATTTGTTGTAAACTTTTTCAACAACAACAATAATAAAAAAGAACTATAAATAATGATTCAATTCAAATAATGTAACAAGTTATACCATAAAAAACAAAGTTGATTTCACTTACTACAACAAGTACAATCAATGGAACCACTTGCAAATTGATATGTTGATTTAAATTCTTCGTTTTTAACATTATTATTATTATCATTATTACTATTATTATTATTATTATTATTATTATTATTATTATTTGAATAATAAGATGAATATAATCGTTTTTTAGCTGTATAATTATTCTTATTAATATTTTGATATTTTGTCCATAATTTAGTTTGATCTAACCATAAACATAATACAGTATCTGTATGACCATGAAATATTCGTAAACATTTTGATTGACTATTTCTAAAACTTATAGAATTTCGTTTAATTGTTTGTTGTTCATTAATTTCTGATAAATTCCATAAACGTATACTTGTATCATAACTACCAGATAATAAAATTTGCAATTTCACATCTAACCATAATGTTTTCACACTACCAGCATGTCCAGTTAACCAAACACGATTAAGATGTGCCCTAATGGTAAAATAGAAAAATATAAAATTTTCATTAGAGATTTGTGAAGATTGGTGAATTTCGTTGTAATCATAAAACTGATCGTTGCTAGACCAGTATTATTAAACAGCCGTTTCATCCTAGTATCGGACTCATCAGATGTGCGGATCCATGACCTCCGCTTGCGAAAATCGAACCCAGAACCTTGGATCTGGCACATGAACGCTTAACCTCTTCAGCACTGAATTGGCATTCAACGATGTTAATATCTAGCTTTAATCTGATAATTCCCATATTCGTCCATTACTTCTAGGTTTCTGACAGTGATCTAACATTAATCAACTCATAATTTCAGTGAAACTCAAAACTCTCCACAACTGTGTAATGAAAATCATAAAAACGTGCTCATTAATAACTAGCTTCGTGAGGAAAATCTAAGGTTTCTAGTGAGAACTTGTAACCACCAGAGTTCAGTCATGTCAGGTTTAGGCAGTTGCCTTCCAAAAGCAATTAAAGATGATGCGCAAAAGCTTGGATTTATCAAACTTAGACAATAATACCGTTAAATGCCCACTCAATGGTTTTAAAGCTTAAGCTTTTGCGTGCAAGACCAAAAGTCCCGTGTTCGATTCCCGCGCGTGAAGGTCTTGGCTGCCCAATGCTGATGAGTCCCACGATAAGACCAAACAGCTGTCCATTGTCTCTAGGTTTCTAATGGTAGTTAAACAATGATCAATTTATGATTTCAATAAAATTTAATACTTGTTAATTTCAAATTATTAACAACTATTAGTTGCTTACATAAATTCAGCAGCACTGTCAGACTGATTAGTATTGGTGCTTTTTTTTCGGATACAATTCGGTGTTACTTCTTTACCAAATGATTTCATAGAAATATCTATAAATTTAATTGTACGCTGTTGAGATCGACCTTCACAATGAGCTAACCAATGACTTCTTTTATCCACATGTATTACACGTCGTTTACATAATGGATTATTTGGTTGTCTAATAATAATAATAATCATAAAACAGATATAGATAATTAAACATTACAGCCACATTATTAAACAATAACTTTTTCACAATATCACAATCACATAGTTTTACAGCTTTAATCCGAAATGTCATCATAGTTCTAATCACTCGATCGATTCTCTCTATTTAATTCCTACTATACTGAATAGACGAATTAACGAACTCCAATTGACAGCTTCACTACGTCAATTGATATGCTTGAAACGATTACGAGTTCACTTTGAGCTAAGAGAAGTGATCCATTGACACGATAGGCTACTCTAATCCGAGCGTTCCAAGTAGAAGAAGAAGTCTTGATATAGCGTAGAAAGTGCATTCTACAAGCACCCAGAAAGTATGAGGTCCGAGTTCAGAAGAGAATAAGGATCCCGGACTAAGGATCCGGATCGTAAAACGTTATAGATAATGCATATTTATACAGTTAGGTCGAATAGCAAACAACATTTTGAAGTATGTGACATTGATAGTTAGGACGACCAATAGGAACGACCATTAGAAATCGACCAATCGAACTAGACTTTTAAAATAATTCTCTTAGGATATTGGATGAATATCCTAACAAATACTTCATGCAAATGCTGCATCAAGTTTACTAAAATAATTTACAAAATATACAATTCGCAGTTAACTTTTGATACGACATTTTTTTCTAACTGTGTTAAGTTAACAGAATGTAAAAGCAGGTCAGATAGGTATCTCTTAGTCAATCAGTCAGTCAGTCAATTACAACGTGAAACGTCACACATGAGTACATAAGTTTAGGTTGCCATACCGCATCAGCGCAAAGACACAAATGTCAGTTCAAATCCCATAGTGCTAGCGATGGTACAAGTATGGGCAGTAATAGAGAAGATTAGGTGTAATTCAGTGAGATAAGTTTAGGAAGACAAAGGTAAAGGTGTTGACAAATCCAGAAGATTTGGATTTGAGAGAACACAAACAGTGGATACACCTGCCATTGCAAACGATTTTGAGCCATGTCATTCAAGGTCTCTAACCATCGATTACTATCGTCTCGCGGACCACAACCAAATAGCCTACATCTAACAACATGACTCAGTCCACTTGTCAGTGACTTCATGGATTCGCACCATGTTTTGGTTTGACCAACCCTAGCTTTCTTCCAGCCTACTCCTACACTAAAAAACATAGCTTGTCGAGGCCACCGGTGGCTGGGCATATGTAACACATGTCTTAACCACCTCAAATGATGAACTTTCAATACATCATCTATTGACCTGCTATCCTTACCTAGTACTCGTTTCCTAATAGGTATCTCTATTATAAAACATGCAACAATTCATCGATATAGTGAAATTTCTATTCTCTTCGATATAAATTACAAGAATTTTATTTTCACAACTTAAATATAGTTAGTTCATTTATTTAACTATACAACAATACTGAATAGTAAAACCTTACATATGTTAAGTCAATAGTTTATTGTTGTTGTACCAATTAGACTTTCGTCAGGCTTCTTTATGCTTCAAGTATACGTGAATATTTATCATGAAAATATTAAACTAATTAGGACAATTTATTATGAGTTAACAATCACAATGTAATAGTACAAGTTGATAATAGGGAGACAGGTGTACTGTTAGTAGTAGCAATAATTAATTGCAATTATTAAGACATCTTGCTAATCTTGCTTTGACATTCTCTGGTTAATCAGTGATGTTTATTGAAACGAAGGTTAAATTAATTGAATTAGCCTCCTCAATATAAGTTCAGCTGTTCATGTAGAGATTAGGCGTACTACCAAGCAACTGAACATCCCCTTACTTTCAAAAAGATCAAATAAAAATAATATTCTTTCTTTGCACACCTAATTAATAGTCGTCAAATCATTTCGAGCGATTTATCGTATATGTCCATCATTTGCCAACAGAGTTCGATCCCCTCTCCTACATGTAGCATAAGCCATAGGAATCCGAATATCAAACCCTACATTATGTGTTCACAAGAAATTCGTGACACTCCTGTTCGTTCTTTGACAGGATACAACTTATTTTTAATTTTGTTATTATTAGCATGATCATACTTGTCATTTTCCCACCTTTTTCCGTTTATATTCTTAACTATCTAATTATTTTCAAACTTCTAATTACCTAAATCTGATCGTTATTTAAATGATTTGAAATATTTATTCTAGTTTGAGTTTTTCTGCAAGTTAGTTTTTTTACGAATTGGAGTAGTTAACCCCATGTTCAACCCTTCTCCTCAATCTGGGCTCGCGACCAGCAGTAACCCAAGAAGAGCTCCATGCGGAGTGTTTCATGATTTTACAAGTTTGACCTACTACTTCTAATGTTGAACTACTGACTAGAACTTTAGTTATTGTATTTTATTATTCTTACCACAAACTGTACATCTATCTTCCTACTATTAATTTGTACTTTTACCTACTACGTAACGTTACGTAATCTATTTCATTGTGATCACTGACTGATAAATTGCCTTGATTGGTTTAACATTTTCATCATAAATACTTGTGCACATTTAGAGAATAAAGTGTGATGACAATTTAACTGAAAACAATAATATTATTGGCTTTATATCTGTGCTGTTTGAATAGTCACAATGGGAATCTTTAACATTGGATATATAGTCTAATACGTTTCATACGCTTGAAACTATTACTAGTTCATCCTACTCGGTAAACGGAGTCGAAGACCAATGATGCAGTGACATGATAAGCTATTCTGATAGGGTTGTCCCCGGCCCTGCTAATGATATCAAAATCTTGATAAGGCTTAGAACGTGTATTCTACAATCACCCAAAAAATATGAGGTCGATAGGCATACCAATCGCGTTTATTTATACATTGTACAAAGGTCCTTGACTGAGCCACAAAAATAGCATACTAACATAGTACATCAACCAATAACAGTCAAGGATTTTGCCGGTCGCAAATATAATCTCCAGGTCAACTAATCAGCACATGCTCTAAAACATAAAATGCAAAATTAGGAACTTTATCAAGTGAGTTCTGGGGATCTAACGTCCCAAATAATGTTATTTATATATCTGAATAGCGACGAGACGTTTTAATTGACATTCAGTCAATAAATATTACCGATTTATATTTTCTGAAATATATATTTTTTATGTAAGAAACTGAATTTCTTGTTCCTAATTTCATTAGAATGGGTTATCATTAATGTCAATGCACGCAAAAACGTCGATCTAGCAGCCAAAAAAACTATGCTTCAACTTCATTTCAATGAGTTTCTCAACTGTCAATAATTCAAATCGCCTATGTATCATACAGAAATTAAGTGACATTCTAAAAACAAAACAATTAAAAACTAATTCTTTAATAAAACACAAGACTAAAACAAAGTCTTTTACTTTACCTTTCTAACAATACATAAATACTAAATGGTCCACAATAGATATTTCTTTCAAACATTAAAACATATTGTATTTTGATCTTGTCATATGCTTGTTTCATTTTATATGCTATTGAATCCCATGATCTGTGTATCAACTTATCCCAGTCATTAGATGAATGAAGCTGAAAAAATGTTTTGTTTTTTTTACAAAGATGCAAAGAATGTCATGTTGAAGAATAAAAAAAAAACAATAACGTTTGTTATATTATTTGATTATTTATTGACCGTGATAACTGACAGAGTGAATTATACGAAATAGGATTGTGTTGAATAGTTCATAGCAATTCCAGTTGTACAGCTAGGTTTCATTATAGATCAATACTACGGAGAGTTAGAGAGCAAGGAACAATTGTTCCATCCTGAGATGGAACTTCTAAACATTGATATACGATTTATTGCACTGTTATATTGACAACAACTTGACATTTATTGGGGGACGTAAGATCCTCAGAAGTCACTTGAAAAAGGTCCAAATTTTGGAATTTTATTATGGAATGTTGAATTTTAATGTTTTCGCATCAAAGATTCTTATTTTGACCTTCAGCTTGAATTTCATACTCGCAAAATCCTTGACTGTCATCGGTTGGTGTATTATTTTAGTACGCTATTTTTGTGCCTCTCCCAACAACGTTTCTATCATCATATAAATAAGCTCGATTAGTGTGCTTGTCCACCTCGTATTTACTGAGTGCTTGCAAAATACACTTTCTTCACCTTATCAAGACTTCTTGATATAGTCAGCCAGGCCGGGGAAAATGGATTAGAATATCCTATCGTGTCACTGAATCATTTGTCGTCGCTTCGTTTACCGAGTAAGGTGAACTCATAATCGCTCATAATATTAATCTTTCTGACCTTCATTATATGACTTTTTTAGTTCACAAATAAAACAATACTAACAGATGCGAAATTTAATCATTTTTAATAAATAGCATTGTCTAATAGCATTGTCTATTGCTGCCTAAACTCTATAAGTATGCAGTAAAATCTATCACTTGTGCAGACAGACAGACAGATACAGCGCAAAACTTCGTACTTAAGTACATCAGTTCAGTTTGCCATACCATGTCAGCACAGAGACGTAACTGTCAGTTCAAATCAAAGAGTGATAGTAGAATTATTAGCAGCAATGAGAAGATTAGGGAGCAAAGATATGATTCGAAAAGTATAATTCAGTGAGATAAATTTAGAAAGGGAAAGATAGAGATTATGAGTAATTCAGAGGGTTAGAATTAAAAAGCACGCAAAGAGTGGATGAACCTGCGTCATTGCAAACCATTCTGAGCCATATCGTTCAAGGTCTCTAACCATCGGTGACTATCGTCTCGCGGACCACAGCCAGATAGCCTACATCTACCAACATGACTCAGTCCACTTGTCAGTGACTTCATGGATATGTGCCATATTTTGGTTTGGCCGCCCCTAGCTTTCTTCTAATCTACTCCTACACCACAAAACATAGCTCGTCGCGGCAGTCGGTGGTTACGCATACATAACACATGTCCTAACCACCTCAACTCATGAAGTTTCAATGCTTCATCTATTGATTTGCCATCCCTACCTAGAACTCGTTTCCTAACGACAGCATTGCTTATACGGTTGTCCCGGGATACACGAGCAATGCTTTGGATACACCGATGATCGAAGACTAGTAACCTACGAAAGTCCTCTACTGTTAACGGCCATGTTTCAGTTGTGCAGAATTAATGCCATATAGTGTTAGGCAAAAACAGTGACATCACGTTTAGTACTTCATAGCATTAATAACTAAGTTTAGCATAAAACTTCTGCATTCGAAACTATGAGTGCTATTTTTTTTATCGATCGCATTTTCAACTAGTAAAAATACAATTCAATAATTTTGTTTTTAACTGAAAAAAGGATTTAATTATCTGTTCAAATTTAGTGAAAGTTACAATGCTTATACAATAGTTAAGTACTTTATTCAAGGTCAAGTCAATCAGATTCATTGACTATGTATAAGTTGAAAAATAATTTTGTTTACTATTTCAACTTTAAAAGAGTAAATCATTTTAGATCAAAAATTCACTGGTGGATAGTTTTATCACTAATAAATATGATTTTTAAAATAATAACGATAACAGATTACCATATTGTGTAGTTCTGCGATTCCTTAATATCATACACATTTCAACCTATTTGTCCACTAGTTTATGGCCTCTCTTATTATAAAAAGTTTTCTATATTTTTATAGGTAGTCAGTAAACATATACTACGGTAATAGAGTTTGACTTGAAAACATTCAGCAACACTATTTGTCTGAATATATAGGTGTGTATTAGAAAATTGCGTTCAGACTTATCAAATAAGCTACTGCTAAACGTAGAAAAAGAAGGTCTCTATCTTGTTTGAGTTCGTTCAGTAGAAATTTCGACAAGTCTAGAGATAAGATGTCACAACCCTCTTCAAGTTTTAGTAATCTTTCAACCGATTTCAGTTTGTAATGTAAAAAGCTTTATCAGATATCAAACAGATAATGTTACGAGTTTATGGAAGACCATTTACAATGAAACATTCAACTTATTTGGAGAAGTTTATCATTGTATCCATTCGTTGTTTCATCTAGATCAGCAATCTTTTTCAACACAGGTTATAAACGCCCGTTGTTTACTGAGAAACTTTTTGAAATTAGCATGTAAAATACATTTGATATAAATATGAGATTGATAACCCTACACTCATGACCAAGGTTTGGAAAACAACAGTAATTTCCAGGGAGGCTCAAGATGCAGTTACTTTACACATACCAATAAAACTCACTATTCGAACGGAGTAGTCAAAATAGTTAGTAGATGATTTATTCATTTGGACCATAGTTTAAAAAAAAGAAATATGCACAAATCAGCTTCCAAGTCTATCATTCAAATCATGAGAGTTAAATCCATGATCTAAATGATCCATAGTATATATCAAAGAATCATTTAAGCTTAAACTTAGTCACTATTGATAAAAAAAGACTAATTTGTTTGTAATACACTAGGCAAAACGTTAACGTTATATTTGATAATGAACTATTAACAAGTGTTATTTCTCCTTACTTACAATTCTGATACAATCAAACACGTGTTTGAATTTCAATGCCTTATGAAATCAAGTTGAAGGCTTAACTTAACTTAACTATGAACTATGTATAGTTCATAGTTTTATTTGGTATTTAGTTCCCGAAACAAGTAGCAGAAACAATAAACGCTATCATCCAATAACCCCTGAAAAAAATTCAAATGTTTTGCAAACAACCTACATGATTTTCCATTTCCTGATTACATGCGTCATCACCACTTCCTGAAACTATACGTGCTTCATCAAATAATCCAGTGTTTGATTCCTCTGAAATTTCACTCTTCAACTGGACTGGGCATCTAGGGACTGGTACTAATCTGTATCTCATAAACTTTGGATCAGCTCGAAACAGGGATGACTTGAAATTAAAGAAACAGAAAAAAATCAGTTCACTTTAATTTAATTCCATCTTTATAAGCTCAAAGAATATGTGTGGTATTACAGTTTGGATTTTCCTCAATACTCGTAAGAAATCCAAACAAACCTAAAAATTATTTTTAATGTGATTACTAAGATTAATTTAAATAAATTTTTTATATAGAACGTTTATTATATACTCAGCATCTGATTTCAGCTAAACTATCTGTCCGAAAAGTTCCACTTGAAGCCCTTATATGGTTACCGCAAGCCCCAATCCCGAGTAAAAGAGGAGGGTTGGGTTTGAGGTTAGCAACCTCAGTCCGTAGTAAACAAGCTTGCTAAATAAAGCCAATCATTAAAAAATTTAAACCATCGAAACTGTGCCCTAGGATTTCGAAATTCTTCATCTACAATGGTGAACACGCTTGATGGTAAAAGAGGAGTTTCCTTGGAAGTCCTGAGGCCAATGGCTTTTTTCATGAACAGAGCAACAATTGTTGAAGGTAAATGGAATAGTCGCACAATTTTGTGAAACCGGTAGAACTATTCAAGTTGCTGAGGCGATGAAAAGATACAACTCGATGATGCTTAGAATAAGTGAAGTCCATCGGTCACAAAATAATTAGCTTCAGGGAGAGAGGCTGCTGTACTCCGGTCATGAATAAGAAAATACCTCACGTAATAAGGGTTGTACGTAAGTTCACATCAAAGGATTTGACCGTCCTGACGTGATACTCAAACGCCAAAATAGATAACAACAAATGAGTCTGTTTTAGTCAATAGATGATCATCAATTCCATCACTCAGTATAAATTTTAAAAAAAATTAGCAAAACAGTAATTCCCACCTGTATCAAACGCTTCAGATATTAAAAATAAATAACTGATACCAACCGTAATAGATGCGATTGAAAAATAATAATATCACACAATATAAAATCATAGCAGCAAGCTGCATATCCAATAATGTTAATGTTAATCAAAAATTCAGATCAAAAATAAATTTTTAAAAGAGTGATTGAAGCTGAGCTATGAAAACGGGAGAAAAAGTGAGTACCTTCACTAGTGGGAACGAATTTTAGGTATGTTAACTGAAGTCCTTGTTCACAAATTTCAAGTAGCTTTTAAATCATTATTCAGTCATGCTTATCGAAGTACGTTTACAGTTTACACATTAAAGTCCACACCACTACTACTTTGGAGCATCTTTTGGGTTAGTTTGTGCATATTAGCTGCCCGGGTGACTGTAATCTTACCAATAATTACTTTCATCGTTAAGAAGGAACTGTTGCAAATTTTTACAAAATAAGGCTTGTTAATAGCTTCCGAATGATATCAGCTCTATTTCCAAGATTTAAGTTACAAATATATTTCTATAGCATCATAGATGATTCTCAAAATCTTACCGTACATTGACGTTCAGTTGAAGAACCGTCTCTAATCTCAGATGTAACCTTCTTCGCTGGTTTTTTGATAAAGGACTTAATTTTTGAGTCAATATTCCATGGCAGTTGTACTGAATATTCATTTGTTCCAATCTCAAAATCACTTTTTTGTCGTAAGGTTTTCTGCAATTCAAAACTTATGCAGTTTATCATGGAAGAATTGCCACCGGCCAAAAGATATAGAATGAAGAGTTTTCGATACTTCAAAGGTAGACACGATAAGTAATTATTGATGTATTTTTTGATTTCATCCATTTGTTGGGGAGAAAGAAGTCTTCGTTTGTCTCCAGAAAAATACCAATCCACACAATTATATAATCTCATTTTAGAGTACAGAATGTCCCTTGATTTGCTCAACTCCACAAGTTTACAAATATCATCTCGTAACTGATTTAAGTAAGGATTATCCATTAAATTCAATAACAAATCCCTAATATCCTCTGTGCAACATGAGTTTAGAATACATTCGCCAATTTTTATTAATCTGGAGAAAAGGCAAGTTGTACAACTACAGCAACTAAAATAGTCATAGCAACAGCTGGGGTTCATGAGCGCATTAACTGACAGTGAATATAAAAACGTGCAAATTGGCTGCCTTCAGCTGTCCAATTCAATATCCAATATCTTTTTCACGAGCTAGTATAAACCAATTGATTTCCTTGTGCTCGATTCTTGTTCCTTCCATACGGTTCCCGGTCTTTAGGTAGTCATCTGACTTCCTAGTTGTAGTTAGTTGGAATTTGTTTGTGAGTCTGTTTATCCCGTGATTTGAATGAAGACATTTGTTTCAAGGCACTAGGTTAAGATTTCAGGACTAAGTAAATAGTAGATAATTTAGTTTATTAGTTAGTAGTGAAGATTTTGAGAGGGGACTGAAGTGTAAGCAAGAAAGAGAAAACAGAGATAATAGGCGAGATTGATTAATTTAGTGTTCTGAGGAGATGGCAATAATAACAACTAGCAGGTCTCAAGACATACACCAGACACAGCTAGTGCATGAGGAGGATGATAATCTGTATGTGAGTAGATTTTCGTCGGGTTTCTTCTTAAAGCCGTCCACTGAGAGGGCTGCGGTCACCTCCGCTGAGAGAGCATCATAATTTGCAACCAACACGTATGCACAAAACTGAGTGTTCGCTCTTTGGTGTGCAGTTTTTACAGGATTACTTTGAGGGGCATGTTCGTGGTGCACCGGTAAGGTACTCACCTTGGGCTGGTTTGGCGTGGTTAATATGTTGTGCGCCATAATCAGACCACCTCTGACTCTTCTGTAACTCAGGAAGAATAATCCGAAGTGGTGGAGCCTATCTTCGTAAGTTTTATTTTACAACCCTCTCACCCATTTCGTTACTCGTCTCTGCACTCAATCCAAGAGATTTACATTTTTTAAGGAGATGAGGTGCGATAATATTTTGAATCTCAAAATGTGGGCGCGCATTTCAATATCTAATACACATCTCCTTTTTTCATGAGCTAATATAAACTAAACGATTTCTTTACACTCGATTTTTGTTCTTTCGGTACGGTTCAAGGTATTTACTAGTAATTTCGTACAAACCGTATATTTAATAAAACGAAATTATGACTCTCATGTTCTTTAAATTCATTTCATAGATATGACTGCAGATGCAAATACTTCATCTGTTTTGGTACAGCTACATATAGTAGATGTTGGTCTAACCACTAGAGCGCATTAAATTCAGTCATTTGGCTTCCACTTATGATACTTTTTGTCCTGTGATATGAGTGAGTGTGTTTATCTCAGGGCAGTAGGATTCCTGAATGCCTTCAGCAATCGCCTTACCAGGCCCGAGATTACTTGACTGTAATCAGCTAAATAATAGGAAAATGCCGATCTTAAATAAAGAACGAATGTCCCGGAAGAAGGCACAATAATAATATAACACATTTAGAAAATATCATAACAACTGGCACTTGTGCACAGCAAACCCTCTCAAAGTCAAAACCATTCCAGATAAATATAACCATAGTTAAAAAGTTGTATCACCAACACTATACTAATGGCAGTGGTGCACTGCACAGCCAGCCTATTCAGAATTTTTTTCGGGATAAGGCAATTTGTGCTACCTCTGGCGCGACATATAACTCAAGTCATTTCACACCAAAATCGAACAACAAAAACACTCGTCCCTTAAAATATCAAACAGGCAACGTTCTCATCCTTTCCCCCTGGGCTAAAAACCCCTTTTGGAAACTACAGTAACTCATCTAACATGTCCCCTCCTAGCCCCTTTCACCAAAAAAACACAGTCGAACAACCGTTCCCTGACTTTAAACTCATATCAAACCAATGTAGGTGTTAGTAACTCCTACTCAAGATACTCTGAATTATTTAATGAAACGTTTGTTTAATATATGTTTTATCAACGCTCGTCCAATCTGCAACGAAAAAACAGATCCAACCATGCTTGCAACTCTTTACCAACCATCACTTGTAGTGATAACTCAGGCATGGACCACAAGTAATATTTCTGATCTAGGTATACTGCTTGAAAACTGTCACCAAATTTACACTACTACGAGATTAAAAGATTCTGTGTGAATCGTTCTGAAACTCTCAAATGAAGTTTCCTTCCTGTTCGGCTGTGTTTACCATCAGCCTAACGCACCAACAAGGGATCTTGCAATATTTTTAGAAGTGTTCAAGTTTCCTTCATCCCTACTGATCACAGACAAGGCTGTTTGTGGGACTTCAACATGCCTGAAATATCAAAGCACCTAAACCATTTGGATCATCTACTTAATGCTTGGAGTTTAGAGAGTGGACTCAACATGTTGACGCCTAGACTAGACTTCAAAATAAATTGTATTTAGTTTCCACTAGCAATATCATTCCTAATACTGTATATGTAGTAAAAACGTTCTAAGGTAGCGATCGTAATATCGTCATATGCAGCCTTGATATAGGAGCTACAACTATAAGACCTAAATTCACTACACTTCGTAGGGACTTTCGTAAACAACACCAACAAACTAACAAATGTATTTCATCAAAGAACCAGTAATATCTTTAATAAATTAGCACCATTAGAATTCTAGAGGCCCAGAATTCCCTAGGACTTATTTATGCAAGATCATATACCAACTCGTCATCCAAACAGTTTGTCGTGGCATATATAGTACATACGAGACCAAAAAGAAGTAGAGATATCCAGGGAAATAGATTTGGTCCACTTTAAATTTATTTGTACATAAACGATACCATACTTATATGAGTATTATCTCAAAACTGTATGCAGCTATAAGACCGAATATTTAGTCGAAAACATAACTAGGATTCAGAGTGACTTTGACAACATATCTACCTCGAGTGAAACATGGCAGTTACCTTATAGCCACAACAAATGTGATAGCATGCATTTTAGTTAGTATCACCATGAAACAACGATATAATTACGAAAATAAAGAGTCATGTCAACGCATGATCTGTGTATTCATAGCTGTGAAAGCCTGAAATTTGAAAAACATGCCTCTTCTATTATCCCTAAATCTAGACAGCTGATGGGAATCATATGCGAGAACTTATAACCAACTGAGGCTAAGCTGACACTCTTCAGAAAATGTATAAGACTGACACTTCAATAATGCAAACGTATGTTTACAACATGTATACCACTACGGTACAGAATGCAGCCTAGGTTTCCATATAGTCCGTATCGAATGTAATGCAGAGTAGGAAACTCATTGTAAAACAAGGAGCAATGGAATTTCGTCAATGTTGTATATCTTACTAGTGAGCTTTCTGTTAACTCATATTAAGAACAAGAGACATTCAATATGATTATTCTATTTTTTGACACGTTTCACTATATTGTATTGTAGAAGGCTTCGTCTGTCTGACAAAAATCAGCGACTACTCAATTACTCTCGCTAATAATGACAGCATTGCTCACATGGTTAATATGACCTGACAGATGAAAACTTACGACGTTTTACAATTTTTCAGCTGAAAACAACCAATATAAGTTTTATAGTTCATAAATAGAAAATTAATTGATCACTAGCTGTGAAAGCATGCTCATTGTTTAAAATGCACTAGACAGAGCACACACTTGATAAAGTAATCAAATTAAATGTGTCAGCAAACAGAATATCTTCTGTGAAATAAATTAGTGAAACGCTTGACAATGAGAGTGGTGCGCTGAATTTTAAAAGTGTTGCGTTTAATTAAAATGGATATTTATTGTGCGAATTCTGTTCAGTAGTTCATTTTAGTCGTTCAATAGTGTATTTGACTCCAACATAAGTTAACGGGAAAAGACCTTGATTTTGTGATAAATGTCGCTTGATTCTAAGAACATATTTCGCAATCACACGACATTCACCGTCGGTTTGTTCACGTATAAGTTTCTCCTCAGCGATCCGTTAGTCCTACTTTTACTGTTCCTTGCACGTGGTAGATGAAGTCTACACATTGGCTGACAGATGAGAAAAAATAAAATAATTATATACATATATAATCACAGTGATTCGGGTGTTTGAAAACTGGGATCATTTTAGGCGATGTAGTCATTTGATGATTCGACATTGCATTGTAGTTCTATTACAAGTAGTTAAAATCTAATTAAACAGAGGAATGTGTTTAAGTTGAGACTGACCATCAATGAAGTGATGAGCTCCCACGATACTACTAAATGTAAAGAGAATGGGACACGAAAATCTGGATTACTGGGCATTTGGATGGACTCGATGCTCCACAACACTGGTTTTCTTTTTCAATTCATATCAGTGTATGCGATATCTACACTCACTATTGGTCGCAGAAGTGAACTGTATATCAAATACACGATGACGAAATTTTTAATTATCTATCCAATGATAGGTGTAGTTTTTACAATCACTGATAGGACTATAAAACTATGCACACAGTATTTATGAAATACTAAAGTAGTGTAGTATTACCACAAGAATGGTTGTCTAACGTATGTCTAATTGGTAAATAGAACACAAATCGATTGTTGTTCCCGGAATCTTAATTTCCTCTACACAAATACGGACACATCTGGACAATTGAGTGCAGTGATTTAAGCAGTGTAACGGATCAACAACAGTAGATCAAAAGGAGAGGTGAAAATACGGATATGTGTTCAATAATTTCCAACATGCAACAAATGAACCTAAAGTGTTCAAACACCCGAATTACTTTATCACCGTAATTGTATAAAGATTACACTCATCTGTCCTGTCTACTTATGATCGAGTCAAATGCACTGATAGACGAACTAAACGAGTGAGTTATCGAAATTCCCAAAAGAAATATCCATTTTCTTCACCTGCAAAATGATTTGTGGTGATTTCAACCTCGGAATCAACTAGCAGATACATTCCCGTCCACTGCGCTTCGAAAGTATACTTAGTCCCTTAGACAAGCGTGGTTAGCAGCAACATATACACCTGCCTACAACAAACCACAGCATTCTGGACTTGGTATTCGATTGCGATGTCAAACCAGAATCTGTGGTGGTCTGCGAACAGATTTCCGACGATGACCATGAGGTAATCCTCCGTAGCCTATCGTTCCTGGCAAAATGCAAAAAATCCCAAACAGTAA